TTAAAGAGGTCTTTTTCAGGATATTTGCCTGATGCAATGCATCATTTGATTTCTTGACTGCTGCTTCCATGAGTGTTGATTGTGGATCCAAGTAAAATAAAATCCTTGACACCTTCAATATTTTCTCCATTTATCATGATGTTGTTATTGGTCTAGTTGTGAATATTTTTGTTTTCTTTATGTTGAAGTATAATCCATACTGAAGGCTGTGGTCTTTGATCTTCATCAATAAGTGCTTCAAGTCTTCTTCACCTTCAGCAAGCAAGGGTGTGTCATCTGCATAATGCAGATTGTTAATGAGTCTTCCCTTAACCCTGTTGCCTAGTTCTTTTTTATATAGTCCAGCTTCCTGGATTATTTGCTCAGCATACAGGTTGAATAAGTATGGTGAAAGGCTACAACCCTGATTCACACCTTTCCCGACTTTAAACCATGTAGTATCACCTTCTGTTCAAATGACTGCCTCTTGATCTTTGTACAGATTCCTCATGAGCACAATTAAGTGTTCTGGAATTCCCATTCTTTGCAATTTCATTCATAATTTGTTATGATTCACACAGTCAAATGCCTTTGCATAGTCAATAAAATACAGGTAAACATCTTTCTGGTATTCCTTTGGTTCCTAGTCCACCTAAAATGGGTCCAGAATCCCTGAGTGTTCCCACTAGCCTAAAAAATTGGTGTTGGGGGTGGGTTCTGGGGACATTTAGCAATGTCTTGTAAGGCATCTGCCTCAAGTGATGCCCCAGGCAATGTCCCAAGTGCTGTCTCAGACAAAGGCTCTTCAGGCACAGCTGGGTTAATCTCATCAGATAGGGGTGGAAGGGATAATGGTTTTACTGGACAGACAAAGATGGAGTAATCTATTCAGATGGGAGTAAGAGTGCCTGTTCTGTTGGCAGGAGTGATTCAATGGAATTTAGCAGCTCAATGTCCCCAGCTTCCTGATTATCAGCCCCTATGTCCCCATTCCAAGTTTCTTCCCAATCAGTGTCCTCACTTTAACTTTAGACTCCGTTCGAGGTTGGCATTTAGTTGGTGTTGTAATTCAGCCACTCTTACGATAAAACTCTGGGTTTGGTTTTCAGCAATATCAGCTCTGTTACTATAAGAAATAAGGCTTTCTTTCACAAGTGGTGACTTTCAGGTCTTTTATGCTGCACTTGAGCTGTGACTTTGAAGCCCTGAGCCCATCTCTTTCTTTCACCACTTCGTCTAGCAAAAGCAGGACCAACGAACCAGCCTCCCTATACTCCTCATTCTGACAAAATTATAGAAAAGTATCAAATATACAACAACCCAGAGTCTTGTTTCTCAAAAATATTTGATCCATTGTTGGTGATATTTTGTGTATTTATATTGCCACCTCATGCCATGGATTAGCAGTGGCCTCTTTACTACTGCAGGCAGAGTCATCAGCACCTTTAAGACTAGCCAGTCTTGAGAACCAATTCAGAAAACTCATCCTCTAGAACCTCTCGGTGCTAAATGTCTTAGGCTGGATTCTCTAGAGGAACAAAACCAGTGAAGTGTGTGTGTGTGTGCGTGTGTGTGTGTATACATAGAGAGAGAGATTTATCTCAAGAAAATGGCTCACGCAGTTGTAGAGGCTGACAAGTCCCAAGCTCATAGGTCAGGTGTCAGGCTGACTCACGTGGTTGCAGGGGCTGATGAACGCAAAATCGGCAGGTGAGATAGCAGGCTGCTAGCTCATGTCCCAAGAACTAGAGATCAGAAGATGATGAGTTGGGTGCAGGATCCAGAGAGGGCAAGCTTTGCTAGAACACCCCTGTCTTCATCATCTAGTGCTGCCAAAACAGAAATACCAAAAAGGGATGGCTTCAACATACAGAAGTTTATTCTCTCACAGGCTAGGAGGATAGAAGTCCAAATTCAGGGCATCAGCTCCAGGGGAAGACTTTCTCTCTCTGTCAGCTCTGGAGGAAGGTCCTTGTCATCAATCTTCTCCTGGACTAGGAGCTTCTGAGTGCAAGGACTCCAGGTCCAAAGGACGTACCATTCTCCTGGCTCTTGTTTCTTGAATGGCACGAGGTCCCCATGTCTCTCTTCTCTCTTTTATATCTCAAAAGAGATTGGTTTAAGATACAACCTAATCTTCTAGATTGAGTCCTGCCTCATTAACAAACTGCCTCTAATCCTGCCTCATTAACATCATAGAAGTAGGATTTATAACACATAGGAAAATCACAGCAGATGACAAAATGGTGGACAATCACTCAATACTGGGAATCATGGACTAGCCAAGTTGACACACATTTTTGGGGACACAATTCAATCCATGACAACCCCTAATGAAACTCCCCTTTCAACTGATTGGCTGCCCACATCAGATCACAAAATGGAGGGTGATTATATACTATCTGCCAAACTACTGAGAATCCTGGCCTAGTCAAGTTGACACATGACTTTAACCATCACTTCATTCCCACAGGAGGTAAGTATTGTTACTCCTATTATACAGATGTGGAAAGTTAGCCTCGGAGACAGGAAATGAGTTGCCTGTGGTCAAAGGTTTGCCTTGTGCCCTTGCCTTTCCTCAAATCACATTGCATCACCTGCCCCACATAGGCGTTTTTATCTTGATTTGAAATGACTCACAATGAAGTTGTGATAGTAATAGTAATAATGATAATAGTTACCAACTGTATTTGAGTTTTTACATCATCATCATCATCAACGTAATGGCTAATACTAATTGCTTATGTTATTCCAAATACTGCTCTTAGGACTTAACTCATTTAACCATCCAAGCAATCCCAGTGAGATAGGTCTTATTATTACCCCCATTTCAAAGATGAAGAGACTGAGGTCCTGAAAAGTTTGGTCATGTGCTTAAGGTCACACAGCTACTAAGCTGGAATTATGAACCAAGGAAATCTGGCTGTAGCACCCTTTTTTTTTTTTTTTTTTAAACTGTTCTATTGATATTGAACATAGACATAGGAAAGTGCATAAGTCATTGAGTGTGGCATTCAATGAAATTTCACAAAGTGAACACATTCACCCAACTCACACCTAGATCTAGAAATAGAACATTATGTCAGCACCCAGCAGCTCCTCATGCCACCTCCTAGTCATTACCTCCCCAAAGTAACCACTGTCCTAACTTCTATCACTATTGATTAGTTCTGCCTGTTTTTAAATTTCGTATGAATATTCCCTCATTCGTAACCTCGATGCCATCTCATTTAGTCCTTGTAATTATCCTAGAGTCCAGAAAGTAGCTTTTTATCTATCATTCCCATTTTACAGATGGGAAAATTGAGACAACCGCAACAACTTAGTAACTTCTCTGAGGCCATATGCCAACGTGGGATGAAAAGAGGATTCTGAAGAATGTCACTGAACCGCACAAGTGGAAATTGTTGAGATTCCATATGTTCTGTTGTGTATATTTTCGCCACAGTAAAATTAGATTAAATTAAAGAACAAAAACAGGATCCTAACCCAGATCCTTGGGGCTGCCTCATTGTTAACTGAGCCTGGATCCCTACTGTGAAACTAGGCAGTACATTAGAGATTCAGAGATTTTTGCATGAACAAATGGTCCTATTTACCCTAACTGGCCCAAAACTTCCTATCAAAAGCCTTATCCCTGCTCTTCTATGATGTTAATGATGCAGGATTAGAGGCAGTTATGTTAATGAGGCAGGACTCAATCTAGAAGATTAGGTTGTATCTTAAACCAATCTCTTTTGAGATATAAAAGAGAGAAGAGAGAAGAGAGACATGGGGACCTCATGCCATTCAAGAAACAAGAGCCAGGAGAATGGTACGTACCATCTACTCCAAAGGCCCCTCCTCTGCTCCAGCTACATGGGCTTCTGGATTGTTCTTTGGAATCTCCAGTAAAGTCCCGCCTCATAGTCTCTGCACCTGCTGTTCCCTCTGCTGCTGAGCAGCATCTCTTCCCCCAGATACCTGCTTGCCTCCCTCCTTCATCCTCTAGCGTCACCTCCTGGGCAAGGCCCCCCCTGACCCCTGACCACCTACCTAAATAATACACCCCATCACTCTCTACTTTATTCCTCTGCTTTTTTCTTGGACTGCTTATAACACTTGACACTATGTTGTTGTTGAGCCGGCCCCCAATTCATGATGACCTCATGCACAATGGGATGGGGCTGTTGTGATCCACAGGGTTTTCATCGGCTGGTTTTTAGGAAGTAGATCACCAGGCCTTTCTTCGTAGTCTGTCTTAGTCTGGAAGCTACGCTGAAGCCTTTTTAGCATGAAAGCAACCTCCACTGACAGATGGGTGGTGGCTGCGCATGACGTGCATTGGCTGGGAATCCAACCCAGGTCTCCCACATGGAAGGCGAGAATTCTACCAGTGAATGAACAAACACTGCCCCACTACTTGAGACTGCATATATATGTATATATGGTCTGTCTCCTTCCACTAGGATGTATGTGCCATGAGGGCAAAATTGTTTTGTTCACTCTGTTTTTCCCAGAGTCCACATATGCCTGGCATACAGTAGGTACTCAATAAATCATGAGTAGAAGGCGGAATTAATCAGCACAGAACGTCTAGCCTTCACCGAAATACAAGTAGCCTCCACAAGGGAAGTATAGGCAGAATTTAAATCCACTGCTTTGCTAAGAATGGCAGTACTGTGGACTCTAGCCAGGGTGTGGTCTTTAGCTGTGATAAAGACCATGGGTTGGGGGAAAGAGGTTAAATCCAACGAGGAAGCTCACCTGCTGGACCGCAAAGCCAGGTGTCTCCTCCTTACCTCCCCTCCGCCACCTCAGGCTGCTAACGTGACCCTCCCCCCAATTTTTCCAGCCCCCAGATGTGCCCTGCCCCAAAGCGTCAGAGAGGAGAACCAGCCACCTGTGCAGAGGTGACAGTGGTGCTCCTGTGTGCTGCAGGCTGTTGGGGAGGGCATGGATTCAGGCAAATGAGCCGAGCACACACAGATATAAAGGCGTGTGACTGTTGGAGCTCTGCTTCTGCTCCAGTGCTCGCAAGAATGGAGGGCAGCATAAAACAGCTCAGCCTGGAGAGGGAGTCTGAGGGGGCAGGGGACAGGCAGGACCTGGCTGACCTCCAGATGCTGGCCCTGAAGTGGTTCATGGAGACACAGGCCCCCCTCATTCTGCAGAATGGCGTCCTGCCCCCCTGGTTTCACGGATTCATCACCCGCAAGTAAGGCTGCTGCTGCCCAGATGCCCAGTGTGGTCCACCATTCCTGAGGGGTGAGAAAACGGTCTGGGGACTCTGCAGCTAGACTGGTTCCTGCCCTCTCCCTGGGCTAGGCAGGGACCCCAAGTGGCGGTAAGGGTTGGGGGACAGACTGCTGAGCGCCACATCCTCTGCGGCAGCTTCCATGGACAGGGTGGGCAAGGGCCTTGGCCCTCACTCTAAGTGCAGGTCTAGGAGGTCTGGGGCTGCCAGGTGGCCAAAAGGACAAAAAGGGGGACAGGCAGGAGCAGGATATGTTTAACTCTGATGAATAACTAGGGGGACAATATCATTTATCATCCAAAGCAGAACATTATTAGTGATTCAGCTAGGGCAACTGTTGTAAACGGGCACTGTCCCAGGTAAACCTGGATGAATGGCTACCCTAGGAATAAAGGACAAGACATGGGGTTTGGGTTTCCGATTGGGCTGGATCCCCAAGGTGCCAAAGCACTAGATGAAGTACCTGGCAGAGAGGCAGGGCCCGCTTCATGGCCATTGACCTTCTCAGTCACACAGGCCCTGTCACTGTCTTTAAATTCTTAATAATTTTTGAAAAAGGGGCTCCACATTTTCATTTTGCACAAGGCCTTGCAAATTATACAGCTGGTCCTGCATGGAGCAGGCATCCGGTATGTGTTTGGTGACTAAGTGGATGAGTGAATATCTAGTCTACTTACTACCAAAACAGAAGACAGCTAGAATTTTCCACCATGTCCTCAAATACTGGGCACCATGTAGAAACATCCAAAGCTGCCTGGGGTTGAGGAGATGGGCTTCAGACATAGCAGCACCCCTTCCTCCAGAAACTCTAGTGGAGTGCACATCCTGCCCAACTGCGCGCAGTGGTCCTGAAGCAGCTCCCCCACCAACTTCTAAAAGTCTCCAGTCGTATGGATTCATTTTTCTTACTTCACAGCCGTCCAGGTGGACAGCGGGTGGCCAGGGTCAATGGCTAGTGTGCTTGCCGGTGAGGCTGCATTGAAGGTGGTGGGCATGGCCTCAGGACACCGAGCCAGCCCCAGGCTGAGTCTTGACCTTGTTCAACTGAGCCCAGACAGCCCACAGACTGAGCTCTGACAGGCACAGACCCAGCTGAAGGTCTGAGGGAGACCCCTATTTTGGGGTGGAAGTCTGTGCACTGGGTCTGGGAACCAAGGGCCTGGCCAGCAGGGATTCTGAGGCAGGCCTAAGTCGTGTTGATATAAGGGCACAGAACCCAGCTAATGGCATGTCCTCTGACCAGGCAAACGGAGCAGCTACTCAGGGACAAAGCTCTTGGCTCCTTCCTCATCCGCCTCAGCGACCGGGCCACTGGCTACATCTTGTCCTACAGGTAAGATGGGAAGCCCTCTGCAAGCTGGCGGGTGTGCTCAGCACCCATAACCGAGCCTTGCAGATAAGCACAGTGGTCCTACCAGTGCACGTTGCCTGACTGGCCCTGGGCGCTGACTCCCTCACTCCTCATTGGTCACCCATTCATTGACCAATGCTCCATAGACATTTCCTGAGCACTTGCCATGTGCTGGGGATGAAGCCTCAGCCTTTAGTGGGGGTTGGTTGGTGTGGGGGTAGGGAAAACAGCCTCCTGGTCGGAAGCTAGGGAAAGCTTCACAGAACTGAACTTTGAGCCCAGGATAGAAGGAAGAATAGCAATTTGGTAGGCAGAAAAGGGGGTGTGGTTTAGGCTTATGGAGGCATGGAAAGCTAGGGTGGGGGAACCACAAGTCCTTGGGTGCAGCAGAGGATGTGTGGTTCCTATGGAGGAGTGCCTGGAGAGGAGGGCAGGGCTAGCCCAAGATGGCCTTGGGTGCCTTGCTAAGTCTGGAGATGGGGACGGGGGTGACATGGTCAGACTCATGTCTTGCAATGGTGCTTCTGGCAGCCTATGGAGGGCGGACCAGAAAACAGAGACTGGAGGTGCCGGGGCAGTGGAGGAACAAGTGCAACTAGCTGGATGTGAAGCGAGGTGGTCTGGGCTAGGGTAGGGCAGTGGAGATAAAAGGAGGAAACAAGACAGAAGAACAAAGTCAGAGATGGTGATGTCAGATCCTATACTGAGAGTAGGTTGGGTGGGGGAAGGCAGAGGAAGGAGACAATTTACCCAGGCATGGAGGTGGGCCAGGGCTCTAGGGCAAACCACAATGGCTTCAGACTCAGAATTATCATGTCCTCATACTGCCTGAGTTCAAATCCTAACCTTGAGCAAGTTATTTTGCTTTTCTGCTCCTGAGTTTCCTCATCTGTAAAATGGGAATATAATAGTACCTACTTCAAAGGATTGTTGAAAGGGTTCAATGAAGTTTATACATTTAAAAGTGCTTGGCATAGTGCATATAACATACCAAGAACTCAATAAATGTTAGTTATTATTAAAATATTGTTATTCTTTGTACCAGATACTGGGCTAGGCACTTTGAATTGTATTAACTCAGTTGTTTTCAAAAGAGTTTTCAGCATTAGGGCCTTTTTTTTTTTTTTTTAAATGCACTCTTACTTAGAACATCAATTTATAAAAAAGATCAAAATGAGGCTGCTCAAAGATATACAAATAAACCAATAGAACAGAACAGAGTCCAGAAAAAATTCAACACGTTTGGTCACCCGATTTACAACACAGGTGTCACTGCAATTCCATGGTGGAGAAGATGATCATTTCAATAAGTGGTGCTGAAGAAATTGGATATCCAAACAGGAAAAAAAATGACCCTTACCTCACACCATAAGGTCCCTGGGTGGTGCAAACAGTTTATGCTCAGCTACTAGTTGAAAGGTTGGCAGTTAGAACCCACCCAGTGATGCCATGGAAGAAATACCTGGCAATCTGCTTCTGTAAAGATTACAGCCAAGAAAACCCTGTGGAGCTCAGTTCTACTCTGTAACAGACGGGGTCACCGTGAGTTGGAATTGACTTGATGACAATGGGTTTGGGTTTTTTTTAACATCATACCATACACAAAAATTAGTTCTAAATGGACCATGGACCCAAGGGAGGAAATCAAAACAATAAAGTTTCTAGAAGAAAACATAGGAGAACGTATTCATGACCTAGGGGCAGGCAAAGATTTCTTAAATAGGACACAAAACGTGCTCATGTCCCAAATACATGAAGAACTCCTACAAATCAGTAAGACAAAGAGAGCCAACTCAATAAATAAACACAAAAGACTTAAACAGGCACTTGATGAAGAAGACTATCCAAAGGGCCGGTAAGCATATGAAAAGGCTTTCAGCATCATTTGTTATCAGCAAAATGCAAATTAAAACCACAATGAATGACTTAAATGGAAGGATCTGGAACAAATGGAACTCTCATATATAGCAATAATTTTAGAAAACAATTTGGCAGAATCTACTAAAGTTAAACATAGGTATACCTTAGACCCATCAATTCTACTCCTAGGTATAGTCGCAACAGAATATGTTGAGACAGAATATATTCTCAACTCTACATGTATTCACCAAAAGACATGTACAAGAATGTTCACAATAACTTCATTTATAACAACAAAAATCTGGAAATAACCTAAATGTCCATCAACAGAATGGGTAAATTGTGGATTTTTCATTAAATGGGATACTAAACATCAATGGATAAAAATAAATGAATTACATATGGACATGAATCAATCTCAAAAATATAGTGTTGAATGAAAAAAGCCAGACAAAAGAGAAATACTGTATAATTTCATTTACATGAAGTCTATAATGGGTAAAACAGATTTACGGTGATAGGGGTCAGAATAGTGGCTACCTTTGAGGGGTATTGACTGGAAGGGAGCATGAGGGAGTTTTATGGGGAGCTGGAAATGTTTTCTATCTTGATCTGCAGGGTAGTTACATGGAAATACTCACATGGAAATTCATCAAGCTGCACACTTAGGACTTGTGCGTTTGACTGTGTGTTCACTCTTCCTCCATAGAATGCAAATGAAAAGGGTGGGCCGTTACAGGTTGAAGTAGGGGTGGAAGCTGGAACTCCGTTTTCAGCAAGGCTGGAATTAGGGTGAGGCAAATGAGGCCTGACCCAAGCCATGATATTTTCAATTGCCTCATATGTATGCAAAAGCTGGACAATGAATAAGGAAGACTGGAGATGAACTGATGTGTTTGAATTATGGTGTTGGTGAAGAAGATTGAATATACCGTGGACTGCTAGAAGAACGAACAAATCTGTCTCGGTACAGCCAGAATGCTCCTTAGAAATGATGATGGTGAGACTTTGTCTCACGTACTTTGGACATGTTGTCAGAAGGGAGCAGTCCCTAGAGAAGGACATCATGCTTGGTAGAGGGTCAGCGCAAAAGAGGAAGACCCTCAATAAGTTAGACTGACACAGTGGCTACAACAATGGGCTCAAGGATAGCGACGATTGGGAAGATGGCACAGGACCAGGAAGTGTCTCATTCTGTTGTACATAGCATCGCTGGGAGTCGGAACCCGTTCGATGGCATCTAACAACAACAACAAAGGAGGCCAAGTTGTGCAAGTGCTGGGTCAGATCCTGTCTTTATTTAAAACTTTGATAGTTTGTTCATCGGAGATTTTTTCCATTAATTTTTTTTGATATTTTGATTCCATAAAATATTGCATCAAAATATTACTTATCTTGATTACTGATTTTTTTGGCACCTCCTTAAGTTTTGTGTTCAATGAGAGTGCCCCACTTGCCTCATCCTAGATGACCAGAGCAGGCTTAGGTGCTTCCCAGGAACTCAGGGCCCCAGGGTTTGCCAGTGATCAGTTCTACTTTTCAGAGACACACACCAAGACTCGAAGTGGGGGCAGTGCTGTCCCAGGTCAGCACCTCCCCTGCATCGAGACCTGGAGCTCAAGGCTGGGCTGCCCGTGGCCGGCAGCCCCAGGCCACAAGTCTTTGTGTTGCAGGGGCAGTGACCGCTGCCGGCATTTTGTCATCAAACAGCTCCAAAACCGGTGCTACCTCATCTCGGGGGACACCCACAGCCACAGCTCCCTGGCTGAGCTCGTGCGCTATTACCAGGAAATGCAGCTGGAGCCCTTTGGGGAGACCCTGGCTGCCGCCTGCCCCCGGGTAGGCACCCCTCTTCCCCAGGGTTAGGGTGGTGGGACAGGGTGCCTGTCTGAAAAGCGGAGACTGAGGCAGCATCTTACCTGAGGTCAGGGACCTGGTGAGAATGTCTCAGTCCCTCTCCAGTAGTCTCTGGTAGGCGACTGGAGGGTGACCTGGGGTGTATGACAACATGCTTACTGTGCCCACCATCCCTCCCCTCCACCAGCTGGAGGACAATGATCTGTATGATGCTGTCGGCCTGGGCCTCCGCCAGACCAACCCAGGCCTGGAAAGTCAGCCTGCCATGGCGTCCCCCACCCTGGCTGCAGGCAAGGCCGCCAGCTCCCGTTCCTCTCCAAAGCCTCAGGTCTCCTTCCTCCACACAAACAAGGGCCTGGATATGAGTCCCAGGAACCTCTTCGAGAAGGAAACTATGGAGGTGAGGCGGGTTCTGGGTCCCCCAGGGTCAGGGTTGCCAGCCCCGGGATTTAGATGCCCACAGTCAGGCCTGAGAGGTCCTGCTGGCCAGTCCCTTCAGGCTGTGGATGGTGTGCGCCAGGCCCAGAGAAGTGCCATCCCAGCTTGGAATGTTCCAGTGGTTCTCCCACGCTCATGGCCTGCCTCTGGCCGGCTGGATTTGGTTCAAGCCTTGGCTTGACCAATTTTTAGCTGTGTGATTTTGGACAAGTCACTTAATTTCTCTAAGCCTCAGTTTACCAATCCCAAAATCGCTGTGGGGCTTGAATGAAAGGGTATAAAATGACTGAAAATTCCTTGTAAACTATAGAGTGGGGTGCCTGTAAGTCAATACTTTATCCTCCTCTACAGCACCTCAAGGGAGGGACTCAGAGATATTTTTGTGTTATCAAATATCAACCACAGCATGCCAAGGGCTTCTCCTCACTTTCAGAATAAAATCTAAAATCTCCACCAGGGTCCACAACACCCTCACCAAGTACACTGCTACCTCTTCCCCTTTCTCACTCTTCTTTAGCTTCACTGGCCTTCTGGGTCTTCCTTGAACACACGAAGCTTGTTCCCACCTCAGGGCCTTTGCACATGCCTGGAATGCTCTTCTCACTAGATATCTGCATGCTCACATTCTCGCTTCATTCTACTCTGCTTAAATATCCCCTCTTCCACCTGACACTCTCTCTATCCCTTTACCCTGCTTTGCTCTTCTTCATAGCACTGATCATGACTTGATACAATATTATCTTATGATATAGTATTATACTATATCCATACTATATAATGGAGCAGTATATTGCCCAGCTCCCAGATTAGAATGTAAACTCCTTGAGTTGGTCTTGCTCACCACTGAGTCTTCACCACCTAAGACAGTGTCTGGTACACAGGTGGCACTAAATATTTGTTGAATGAATATCTGAAGGATGGAATTGGGGTGGACCATCCTGGCAGGGGAGGGAGCAGCGAGTGGGTGGGTTCAAGGAGCTCTGAGGGACCAGCAGACCTCACTGCAGGGGCAGGAGCAGGGCAGGATGAACTTGGGTGAGAGGTAGAGCTGGCAACCCAAAGCCTTGAATGCCAAGATAAAGACCATACTCAGAGCCTAGAACATGAGAACTGCCAGGGACCCGGAATGTCGTGTGTCCAAACCTTGCATGTAACCATCAGATAAAGTGAGACTGGGACAGGAGGCCTCAGCTTACCTGAGAGCTTCTGTTTACCTGGTGGCATCTTAAGAGCAATGGGTACCCTTTAAGAGGTTCTCTGTCCCTCTTCCCAGATCTCCTTCAGGGTGCCCCCACTCCCTGAGAGGAGTGCCTCCCTCCTGGACAAGTCTTTTGGAGGGCCCAATGACATCATCTATGCAGACGTGAAGAAGATGAACAAGGCCCAGCTAGGCCTGCGCAGAGAGGTATCCAGCAGGCAGGGGCCAGTTCTCACTGGCAGCCAGTCCTGCTCCCCAACCAGGGGGGCCCCAAGGAGACCCTTGGATGGAGGCCAGAACAGGCCTGATGGCCCAGGGCCTGTCCTTGCTGGGGTGAGCCCAGACCAGGGCTCAACAGTGTCTCCCACTTTCTGGGGCTTCCTCCTACCCACTAGTCCTGAGGCTCTGGGATCCCCAGCTGTGACCTGGAGCCAGGGGTCTCTGACTCTGAGTCACTCGTCTCGGTCCTGCTCCCAGGACAGCTCTGCAGACATCTATAGGCTCATTGGGACAGCAGGCCTCCCGCAACAGGCTGCGGATGCACCAGACTGCGGAGATGGTACCTACGAGCAGATCCCGGCCTGCTGGGCCGGCCCAGCCAGGCCCCCACATCCTGGGTCCAGTCCCACCTACAGCAAGCTGTCAGGGCCCGTGGACTGTGACTACAAGAGGATCCCAGAGCCCGGAAACACCCATGAGCAAATTCCAGCAGCCAAGAGCAGGGAGACTGGACAGACAAACAAGGTGGGCTCCATGGGTGGGGCGAGGGTGGTGCCAGCCCTTAGGGAGTACCCAGTGGTAGGTGAGGACCTGTGGTAGTCAGGCACAGCAGGCCAGGTCCCTGCCACTGCCCAGAATTATACCCTCTGCCAGGTGGTGGTGGGAGAGGTAGCCTCTAGATGTGAGTATAAGATGGGGCTTCCATGTCTGCTCTCCCTCTGGCTACAAAGTCTTGTGTCCTCCCCTGTCCCTGGTGGTGTCATTTACACACCCACCCCCGCCCTGGGTAGGACACCAGTGTATCCCAAGGCCCCCAGAGAGCTCTGGGGGGTGGGAAGCCTGGGGCTTGATCTTTATTCCGCTCCTGTCTCTAGGCCCTTCCTTCCCCTTAGCCTCCTTAGTCAGAAAAGGCCAGGTACTTAGTCCAGACCTGGAGGGTGGATGGTAGAGTTTCGGGCACTGTGAGAGGCTCGTGGGGGGAGGTGGAAGCCACCATGGATATTCTGACTTGGTCTCATTTCCTGGAATCCAGCCCCCAAGTCAGTGCTGATGGACCCTCTGAGCCTGGGTCTCCTTCCCTGTGCAGGGACCCAGGCCCAGCATCTTCTCCCTCCTTGCAGCCTGACAAGCTCCGGAGGCTCTTCACGGACAAGAAGCACAAATTCTGAGGAGGGTTCAACTTCCAGCAGCCCACACAAGTGGGTCTCCTGGTACCTGGGCTGTGCCAGCAGCTTTGGGGAAGCTCCCAGCTCACCTGAAGGCACCTCTCGGATCCTCAGACCCAACCAGCCTGTCCTGGAACCAGGCTCAGAGACAGCCCAGGTGGTTGCCTGAAAAGGGGGTGGGAAGGGGCCTTCCAGCCGCCCAAAGCCCCTGGCTATGCCCCGCTTCCCCAGTGCCTACCATCCATCCACAGCGGGCAACCAAAGTTCCAGAAGAGTGGGGACTGGCCAGAGGCGGGGGTTGTTACCTCCACTTCCCAGATGGGCCTGCTGAGGCCCGGGCTGACTGGCTGGGCCTGCCTCCCACTCTTCCATCCGTGTGCTCATTGAACATTTACGGAGCATGTGACGAGCCCCATGCTAGGAAAGACATCTTCCTAACTGGTTGAGACCAAAGCCAGTTCCCTTCCTCAGGGCCCTATCAGCAGGAGGGAGAGGAGGCCCAGGAGTCACAGTCCTTGCCCCTGTCCCATGGGGACTGGGGCAAGCAACCGGGGAAGTGGCAGCAAAGGCCATCTCTGAGACGACAGCCCTGCCCCTGGAACAGGCCGGCTCCCAGAAACCGCCCCCTCGGCTCCTCTGCCCTGCCTCTGTCCCAGCCTCACTGTGTGAGCTGGGCAGACCCAAAGGGGCATCCAGTCCAACCCCTTCGTGCTACAGATGGGGAAACTGAAGCCCAGAGAGGAACAGCAACACGCTTAGGGTCATACAGCAGGGCTGGGCCTGGGCAGACACCCCTCAGTAAGGCAGGTTCAAGCCTGGCTGGGGGGTCAGCCTGGGCTGCCCCATGGGGTGGTTTCTGGAGCCAGCCAGAGGGCACTTGTGGCCACCCCCGTCTGATCAGGTCACCCTCCCTGCTCTCTGCCTCCAGGCCAGTTCTGGTCTTTAGGGGTTGCTTGCAGACCCCTCCCATGAGACACAGCCCCAATCTGGTGGCCCTGTCCTCCAAGGGGAGCCCTGGTGGTACAGTGGTTAAGAGCTTGGCTGCTAACCAAAAGGTCGACAGTTCGAATCCACCAGCCATTTCTTGGAAACCCTAAGGGGCAGTTCTACTCTGCCCTACAGGGTTGCTATGAGTTGGAATGGATTTGATGGCAATGGGTTTGGTTTGGTTTTTGTCTTCCAAGGAGCCTAAGGGACCAGGCCTGGACACAGGGCACTCAGGCCTCTCCCTAAAACCACTCCCTCAGGCCAGGCTGCCTCTTCCTGTGTCCCCTTCCCTCTGGGTCCTTCCTGTTTTGTCCTCACTTCCTCTCTTACCCACAAGTCCCCACCTCCATAAGGGTGAGCAATTAGCCGGCTGCCTCCATTGCCCCCAGGCCCAAGAGGTGGAAAACAGAGCTGACCATGACCAGACAGACACCATAGGCACCCTGGCTCGGCCCCTGGGCAGAGTAGGCACCGTTCACATTTGTAGGAAAATCTACCCTTAACTGCCTCTTGGCTATGCAGCTTCTCCCTCTGAAAAATGGGGTTCTAAGAGTCCCCACCTCCTAGGGGGTTATAAGGGTTTAGAGTAAAGCAGCTAGCCCTGGCCTGACACATGGCTGGCACTCCATAAATGCTAACCGGAATTATGATTGTTATGAAGGAAGTGGAGACGATTTTCACCCTATGTCTTCTGTGGGGTTCACACAAGATTTGGGTATGGATGGTTCTTCCTTCCAAAGCCACCAGCATTTAAAAAAATGCCTGTTATAGATTGAATTGTGTCCCCTAAAATGTGTGTCAACTTGGCTAGGCCATGATTCCCAGCACTGTGTGACTGTCCACCATTTTGCCATCTGATGTGATTTTCCAGTGTGTTATAAATCCTACCTCTACGATGTTAATGAGGCAGGGTTAGGGGCAGTTATGTTACTGAGGCAGGAATCAATCGACAAGATTAGATTGTATTTTGAGTCAATCTCTTTTGATATATAAAAGTGAGCAGAGACAGGGGGACCTCATACCACCAAAAAAGCAGTGCCGGGAGTAGAGCGTATGATTTGGACCCAGGATTCCTGTGTTGAAAAGCTCCTAGACCAGGGGAAGACTGGTGACAAGGACCTTCCTCAGAACCAACAGAGAGAAAGCCTTCCCCTAGAGCTGGCACCCTGAATTCGGACTTCCAGCCTCCTAGACTATGAGAGAATAAACTGTTAAAGCCATCCACTTGTGGTATTTCTATTACAGCAGCCCTAGATAACTAAGACAGGGCCTAATGTGGGAGGGCAATGCTTAACCCAGAGAGCTGAAGCACTAATGGTGGGATTTCACGGACCAGGAGAAAAGGTAGCATTGAAAACTTCCTTAACATTGGCAGACACAGAGAGAGTGGGAACACCAAAGTGTTTTACTACCAGGAGTTTACGAGTCTGTGGACAGCACATACCAGTGAGGACTGCAGGTCATTGGGAAGTGTGGGCAGGGCGGTGCTCGCGACTCAGAGGCAGAGCCAGGCAGAGCCAGGCAGAGCCAGGCAGAGCCCTTGGACCAACTGTTCACACAGCTTCCTGCTAGGTGGCGGGAAGAAGAGGAGCAGGCAGGGGGTGGGGTGTGGCCCAGCCTTAGGTTTTTTTTTTAAACTGGTATTGTATTTTTTTTGTTTTTAATTGTACTTCATGTGAAGGCTTATGGAACAAATAGTTTCTCATGAAACAGTAGTACACATATTGTTTTATGACATTGGTTAACAACCCCACACAATATCCACATGTCAACCCTCTCCCTTCTTTTCCTTTTTTTTTTGGTGAAAATATACATAGCCAAAGATACACCATTTCAAAAATTTCTACATGCACAGTTCAGTGACATCGAGTACGCTCTTCCAATTGTGCTGCTATTCTCTCTTTAGATGAAGGCTTACAGAACAAAATAGTTTCTCATTTAACAGTTAGTACACACGCTGCCCTATGACAACGGTTGACAACCTCACAACACATCAATACTATCCTTACTCAACCTTGGGTTCCCTATCACCAGCTTCCTTGTCCCCTTGTGCCTTCTGACCCTTGTCCCTGGACTGCTGTGCCTCATTAGTCCCATTTGGTTTTATGGGGCTGTCCACTCCCAGGCTGAATGGTGAACCTCGGAAGTGACTTCACCACTGAGCTAAAAGGGTGTCTGGGGGCCATACTCTCGGGGTTTCTCCAGTCTCCTCTAGGCCAGTAAATCTGGTCTTTTTTTTTTGTGAGTTAGAATGTTGTTCTATATCCTTCTCCAGCTCTGTCCAGAACCCTCTGTTGTGATCCTGGTCGGAGCAGTCAGTGGTGGTAGCCGGGCACCATCTAGCTGTACTGGACTCAGTCCGGTGGAGGCCTTGGTAGCGGTGGACCATTAGTCCTTTGGACTAATCTTTTCCTTGTATCCTGTTCTCTTCATTCTCCCTTGCTCCCGAAGGGATGAGACCAGTGGAGTATCTTAGATGGCTGCTGACAGGCGTTTAAGGCCCCAGATGCTACTCACCAAGGTAGAATGTAGAACGTTGTTTTTATAAACTGTGTTATGCCAATTGAGCTAGATGCTCCCTGAGACCATGGTCCCCACAGCCCTCCGCCCAGCAATTCAGTCCCTCAGGGAGTTTGGATGTGTCTATGGAGCTTCCATGACCTTTCCTTGTACAAGTTGTGCTGGTTTCCCCTGTATTGTGTACTGTCTCACCCTTCACCCAAGATACCACTTATCTATTGCCTATTTAGTATTTCCCCCCACCAGCCTTAGGTTTTGGAGAAAAGATTGCATAGCTCGTTAAAACCCTGTCCCCACCCCCTTTTTTTGCACTCTGCCCTGGGCGACTGGGGTGTCTCCCCAGCACTTGGACAAGTCAGTGTCCCCCACCATTAGGAAGGGAGTGGGGGGAAGGTGGTGGAGCAGAAGAGCCTGGGGGGCACAGGTCCTGGAGCCAGACCACAGGCGGCCTGGGAAGGGCCCTACTCCTCACATCCCCCCTTCCCTGGTTAAGGTTTTTTTGCTGAAAGGGCTACAGGAAATGTTCATGAGTATAAGCCCCAGAGGCCAAGGCTCCTTTTCTGGGGGGCTTGGAGGTGACACCCGTATAGACAGCAGGGCTGGATGGTGGGCTTCTGAGTTCCTGTGGCCTCGGCAGTGTCCTCAGATTCGGACGTGGAACGTGCTAGAAAGAGAGTGATAGAGAGGGTTAGAGGCTCTAGGCTGGGCGGGCAAAAAAGCAAACCAGGCCCTCAGCCTGACCCACCCCAATCCCTCTGGGAACCCTGCAAAGAGATCCCCTAGTTGTTAAATGCTGGGAAGGAACCAAGGTTCTTGTGCAAACCCACTGTCCCTAGGCACTCCAGCTCTCCAATCATAACCAAAGGGCCCCCAGGTCCTTATCCTTCACAGACTGAGCCTGGGCCCTGCAGGAGACAGGGGACTTCCCACTCACATATTGAGGGGAGCTGGGCCTGGAACGTGACCTCCTGCTTCTAGCCTGCATGGGGTCTGCTGGGCACCACTGCTGTCATGAGCAGTGAGTGACAAGGGCCTCAACCTCCATGGGGTCCCAAGAGGGCAGACTGCCTGGCTGTGTCCCACATTCAGGCCTGCCCTGCCCTAGCCCAGCCCCTCAGGGCAGTGACACCTGAGAAAGTCAGGGGCCTTGGCGATCATGTCCTCAAAGTCGGCAAAGCCCAGCTTGCCGTCGCCGTCCAGGTCGGCCTCCTCGATGACCTTGTTGCACACAAGCACCACCTCTTCCTCGTCCAGCTCTGACTTGGTCAGCCGGGCCAGTGTCATCTCCAGGTCCTCCTTGCAGATGAAGTTGTCAGTGTTGAAGTCTGTGGGGGATGGAGATGCTCCAGCCAGGACTAGGTCCCCTCAGAGATGCCAAGGGTCCTGCCCTACATCACCTCTTCCTCTGCCTCAGTCATACCGGATACCGTCACCAGTCTCTGGAGTTCCCAAAGCATCTCCACATACCCTCTGGGGATACTGGATCCTTGTCCTGGCTGATAGAGCCCCAGATGTTTTCCGGGTCCCAGCCCACCTAGGGGAGAGGCCTCAGCACCCACAGGCGTATCTTAGATACCTGCATCCAACAAATTAACATTCACAGCAACTCACCGCAAAACCCCTCAATGACTGTACCCACAATCTCATCCTAAGACAACCCAAGAGTTCAAATCTGAGGCTCCCTGGGAATTTCAGGCCCAGGCCAGATGGTCCTCCTGGCCTCACCCCACAACGGACCTGATTTTACCTCTATATCCAAGGAAACCAAGGCCCAGAAAGGCCAGGTGATTTCATCAAGTTCCAATGGAAGCTCAGAGGTGGAGCGGGGATCCTACAGGGGCCTGTTTGACTCTGGTGCACACATACCAGGGAACATGGTTTGCTCCTACTTGGCAAAAGGCACTACTGCTGCCAAATAGTTCAGAGACCCCAGCCAGGCACAGGCTCGCTGCGGTGAATCCTCATGTCCTTCTCCATCGTTTTCCACTCACTCACCAGGTCTCTGCACGTGCCCAGGGTGGGTGCCCTTCCCATTTATCCGTCCAGCAAACTCCTATTCATCCTTCAAGTCTCTGCTCAAATATCACCTTCTGGGGAGGGCGACTTCCTAGATATGAAGGCTCCCCTGCTGAGTCCCCCGCCGCCCACTGATCAAACCCTGGCATTAACGGTAGTGATGAAGATCATAACCGTTAATGTTATGGAGCACTCTCTGTGCCTGGCAGTGTTACATACTCTATCTCATTTAAATTTCTAAACAACCCTATTAGATAGGCACCATTAGAATCCCCTCCATACAGATGAACAAACCGAGGCTTGGAAAGGACGTGTAACCTGCCGAGGTCACATCCTAGTCAGTATGGACCCTGGAGCCCAAGCTCTTGACCAGCACTCTACACTGTCTATCTCCTGCACTGGCCTATGAATGCCTCTGGGGCAGGAACTAGGTGGAGCTCATCTCTGTCCCCAGAGAGGCACACAGTAGGTTCTCTGGAAATACCTGCTGGCTGGCTGGATGGATGGACAGATGGAGATGGATGGATTCCTATAGGGCTAGCAAGATGGGGATTCATATGTCCATTTTATATGAGAAAACTGAGGCCTAAAAGCGCTTGATCCTTTTCTAGAGATCAGATCCCAAGCCACCCCAGCACCAGACCCCAGGATCCCAGCTGCCCTTCCCCACTCTACCCCTCAGCTCAGGGCAGCAAGGGAGCTATGGTTCTCCCTTCACTTGTTCCCAGGCCTGACTGCCCGTCTGCTCTGCCCTTCCTCCTCTATGGCAGACGATCGCCCTTCCCAGGAGCTATGCCTGTGGGGTCAGAGACTAGAGAGACAATGGGTGGAATTTGAAGAGCTCTTTATATAGCCATGCGGATATAGTTTATGGAGGGTAGACAACGTGGGCACTGTCTTTCTGATAAATAAACACAATGCAAGTGCACAGATGTATCTAAACCAAAGTCCTCTGAAATAAACACACGAAAACCACAAAATGAAAAAACAACCAGGTATAGTCCCCATAGGAGTGCTCGGCTGCTAACAGAAAGGTCGGTGGTTCGAACTCACTAGTGGCTCCATGGCAGAAAAGACCTGGCGATCTGCTCCCATAAAGGTTAGAGCCTAGGAAACCCTATGGGGCAGTTCTACTGTGTCTTATAGGATCACTATGAGTCTGAATTGACTCAACAGCACCCAACAACAACATGGTCCCCATAGGCTTGTGATTCATGGTTGAGCAAAGGTGCCGAGGAAGGGCCCTTGGTTTGGTCTGTCCTTGACTCTTCTGGACCAGGACAGGTGGTAGCCCCTCCCTGGGCCTCGGAGTCCCCGGCTGAGGACTGTATGAGGATTTAGCACCAGTCCCCGCAGACCTGCCAGGCCCACAGGACAGCACAGGTGGGAGCTCTACATGTGTGAAGTTGTCTCGCTTCCGCTGTGGAGAACCATGGGCTTCACGGTGCCCTGGCGCCCTCTGGTGGCATGTGGGTCACAGGGTGGAAGGCTGGGCTGGGCAGAAATGAGGTGGCCCCACCTCTGGCAGCACTGGCAGAGAGGGGCCTCTGGGAACCTCCTCCTATCTGGGAGGTGAGGTTGTTGGAAGCTTGGCCTCACCACCATGGTGAAGCCTCCTCTCCAGCCCCTGGCTTCAGTTTGTTTCCTCCAGTTCATACCTCCAAGCTGCAGAGTGATCTTTCTAGAATACAGAGCTACCCTTCCCCATCTGAAACCCTGCAGTGGTTCCCCAGTTCTCTGATACAAGGTCCAAACTCCTTGGCTACTCAAAGCCTGGCTCCAATTTACCTCTCCAGACTCCAACTGCCCCCTTGTCCCACCACGTCCAAACCTCCCCACGTGCTCATCAAGCCCTGCACTTTCTTGATTCCGAGTCTTCACATGCTGCTCCCTCTGCCTCCACCTCTCCTCTTATCCCGCCAGGCCCTGCTTAAATGTCAGTCATGTGACTCTGCCTCCTACTAACCAACCCACCCTGGGTGGGCCGAGTCCTTCCCTCCTCTGTTCTCGGGAACCCCCACCAAATGCCTATTGCGCACCATCTATCCCCATTGGCCACCCTACTGGACAAGTGCTCTTCAGCCTCACTACTCTCAGTGTCCTGCAGGGGGAGCCAGCAAGTACTGTTGATGATGGACCCAAATGCCGCCACCCTCAGCGTCACTGCCCCGGCTCCTCCAGCCCCTAGTTACCATAGATCTTGAAGGCGTAGTTTGCCTTGAGATCACGAGGAGCTGACTCGCAGAGCACGGAAAACATGTCCACAAAGTCGTTGAAGGTGAGGTTCCCCAAGCCGTCCTCAGAAAAGGCCTCCACGATCCTTTCCTTGAAGGGATTCTCCTGAAGAAAACAGCCACAGCAATCACCATGAGGGCAGGCTAACTGAGAGGGCTCTGGAGCCGACTGCTTACAGCCTACGTAACTTGGATGAGTGATCCAATCCTTCTGAGCCTCAGTTTCCCCATCTATATGCCCCAAATTCATTGTCGACAAGTCGATTCCGACTCATACCGACCCTAGAGGACAGAGTAGCATTGCCCCAAAGGGCTTCCAAAGCTGTAATCTTTACAGAAGCAGACTGCCATGTCTTCCTTGTGCATAGCAGCTAGTGGGTTTAAACTGCCAACCTGTCAGTCAATGAGTTAAAAGAATCTAGCGTGTTGGTACAAGGCCTGGCACACATAATTGCTTAGTGAATGTTAAGTTACATCACACCATATCATCTAGATAAGCATAAAAAGCTTAGCTGATCCAACGTGTGCTCACTGGAGGCATCACCTGAGTAAGGTGCAGGGACTGGTCCACTGCCCCGGCAAGTGGAGACAACAGCCCAGGGCATGGGCAGCCCTTAGCTCAGGTGTGTCAGGCCGGGATCGTGGGAGGCGGAAGTGGGGACCCAAAGGGTCAAGTAACTGAGCTAGGTAAAGCAGCAAGAGCCACAGAGCTGGTTCAGACCCCCAGCCAGCGATCACCCAAACCAACCACCAAAGCTGTTGCCATTGAATCCCGACTCATAGCGACCCTATCAGACAGAGTAGAACTGCCTCCATAGGGTTTCCAAGACTGTAAATCTTTATGGAAGCAGACTGTCACATCTTTCTCCCACGGAGTGGCTGGTGGGTTCAAACCACTGATCTTTTGGTTCGCAGCCAAGTGCTTAATTACTGTGCCACCAGGGTTCCTTAGCAATTATCCAGCTTCTGTGAATTCTCAGATGCTGCCTCCTCTGGGAAGCCATACCATGTACTCTGTCCTGTGCTCCCAGAGCACTCAGGCTCCTCTCTCCTTCCACCCCACTGAGCCAGCCCCTACTGTGTGCCCAGCCCCAGGACAGCAAGGAGGCCTCAGAGACAAACCATGTGGTCCCTGCCCAAGGAGGGCCTCACGCCCTCTAGTGACCCTCCGAGTTGGTCTCAGGCCCCTCTCTGCCAGGCTGGCTGGGCACTTCTCCAGGGCCCAGCCTGGGGCTCCCTGCTTCTTAGGACTGTGGTCACATTCACAACCAGGTCCCAAGTGTACACCAGGCGGTGCTCTGAGCCCACCTCCCAGCCACACATCTCAAGCCTGGCCAGGGAATACTTGCAAAGTCCCACAGCAATGTGGAGCTTTGCCCCAAATGCTTTCTTAAGGTCAAAGTGCACTTTACATTTGAAATAAGAAATACACTGATTTACATTGAATACTATTATTCAAATATTATTACATTTGAAATAAATAATAAGAGTAAGGAACTCATGAAATGAAACTTTAATTTCAAATATATAAGTGGTCTGTGGACCAGCAGCCGCAGCATCCAGGGCTTTGAACCCGTTCATTCCAGTTCGGACCCCAGCTGAGAATATGCACTTCTAACAAGTTCCCAGGCAATGCTAATGCTGCTGGTTAGAGACCAGTTCTGAGACCCACTAGTAGAGCAGTGGTTCTCAAAATTTATCATACGTAAGAATCACCTGGAGATCTTGTTAAAATGTAGATTCTTCTTGAGTACATCTAGGGGTAGAAATGCAAATTCTCAGCAGGGGTTCCAACCGGAAGGAAACAGTTCAAAGCCCTGGCAGCAGCACTTGAGAGCTTGTTAGAAAAGCAAAATCTCAGGCCCACCCAGACCTGCTGAATCGGGATCAGTATGTTGACAAGATCCCCAGGTCACAGGTGATTCATGCGCACGTCAGAGTTTGAGAAGTGATGGTATGTACGGCTATGCTGACGTCAGTGGCCAGACAGAAAAATTATCTTCAAAAGCAGATGCAAGGTTAAATGGCTGGGAAACCTCACACATGCAGCTCATTTATTCAGAGCACAGTTGGGGAAACTGAGGCAGAGAGATTCGTGATCCACTCGGGGCCGCACAGCCCTTAAGGGTAGAGTCAGGGTTGTGGTGCCTCTGCCGCCCTGCCCCACCCAGAGGCACAGACCTCCCCCTTTCACCACCCCCAACCCACCTGCCCTGCCCAGCAGCAGCGGCCTCTCCCGTACCCGGAGCTCCGGCATCTGGATGATGAGGCTCATGGGCACGTGGACAATGGGGCTCTTCCTGTAGTCCATCGGGACGAGGTTGGGGGCCAGCTCGTAGAACCGTGCGTGCAGCCTGTGAGGAAAGCAGAGGAAAAGCACTGGGGATGACCAGCCTCCAGGGATCTGATGCCACCCTGCCTGCACCCTCTGCCTCGGGCGCTGGAGACCCTGCTTGGCCAGGGCTGGTGAAGAGCCTGGGCGGGGGGGCATCTGCTCTGCCCACAGGGTGTGGGGTTTGGGAGGGAAATGGGTTCTGCCCAGGCCTCTCTGCTGATAACCAGATTGTGGTTTGGTCCTCTTTCAAACACACACACCCACTACCACCACCACCTCCTCCTCCCCAGGGGACCTGCAACAAGATCTTATTTTTTTCCCCTTGGGCTCTCATAAGGGTCTTCTGTGTGCCAGGCACTGTGTAAGCACTTAACACATTTCACCTTATTTAATCCTCCCCACAACTGTGTGGACTGATGCATTGTGAACCCAGTTTACAGCTCAGCAAACTGAGGGCTAAAGAAGTTAACAGTGATTTGTCCAAGTCTACACACAACTAGAAAGTATCAAGGGCCATGGTTGGAACCCAGGACTGGAAATTCAGGGCAGAAACTCTTTTTTTAAATTTTTTTTTATTGTACTTTAGATGAAGGTTTACAGAACAAATAGTTTCTCATTAAACAGTCAGGACACATATTGTTTTATGACATTGGTTAACAACCCCATGACATGTTAACACTCTCCCTTCTCGACCTTGAGGACCTTTTTTTTGGTGAAAATATACATAGCCAAAGTTACAGCATTTTGAAAGTTTCTACATGTACAATTCAGTGACATCGATTACATTCTTCCAGTTGTGCTGCTATTCTCACTATCCTTTTCCAAATTATTCCATCACCATTATCTTCAACTCACTGTCCCCTAGCCTTCCCATCAAACCTTTTGAGTTGCTGTTGTCAATTTGATCTCACATAGATAATTCTTTTTTTTTTTTTTTTTGTATGTTAGATGAAGGTTTGCAGAACAAATGGTTTCTCATTAAATAGTTAGTACATATATTCAGGGCAGAAACTCTTAACCACTTCTCCTTCTGCTGTCTCTAACTCCTGAGGCTCTGTCTGAAGCCCTGGCCCAGTTCCTGGGCCCCCAAATCTAGGCCCTGAGAGTTGGGTCTCTGGAAGAGCTCCCAGCAGCCCTCAATTCTTGAGGAGCCCCTGTGAATGGGCCACCCACAACCCTCTCCAGCTGGCAGTCATTGGGACCAAGCCCTGATGGGTCAGGTACCCCAGCTCCTGTCCTTTCCTCCCACCCCTACTCAACAGCCCAGTGCGCAGGAATCCCCAAGCCTGGAACCTAAGCCCATCCCAAGATGCTGCGCAGACCCCCAAGGGTATGAGGCATCCTGACACCATCTCAGTAGGAAGCCCCCAGCCCCTCCCCCCACATTATTCAGTCCTGCTGCACTGTGTTCCCTTGTCAAGAGAACAGCCTCCCCCCACCCTAAGGCAGGTACAAATTGTGTTCAGATGGAACTGTACCCATGAAGTGCTGCCAGATGGGGGACAACTGTAAGGGGTATTGACTGGAGGCTGAGGTAGGTAACCTGCCCACGATGAGGCCGGGGCTGCTGGAGACTGGATGGAAGTGTGACCCCCATATCTCCCAGCCCTGGTCCTGCCGTGACACCCTCAATGCCAGATCAACTTTGGTAGTCTTCTTCTTGGTCTAACCCAATGACACACTCCCAGGCCCACCCTTAGGAGGTCTTCCAGCACAATCACCCAACCCTCCATTAGATCCCACCCGATTCTTACCATCTGGCTGCCTTGCTCTCTCTGGCAGGGTAAACACAGAGTCTACCTTACCTCCCCAGCTCACAGATAATGCCATCAGCCACCACTGAGCAAGGGCTCCCTCTATGTGAATTATTCTACTTAATCTAATCTTCAAACCACTCTGAGAGGTAGGTATGAGGACACTGAGGCTCAGTGGGTGAAGTGCCTACCCTAGGTTATAGAGCCAACGAGCGGTGGGACTGGGACTTGAACCCAGGCCTTCCAGATTCCAAACACCTGGCTCTTCCCTGCAAGTCAGGCCACCTTCGTGACCAGATCAGCACCTGGTTCAGTGCCCGATCAGGGTAAACCCAAAGCAAAATGCCACAAACCCATTTTCCCGGTCATGCAGCCCAGGAGAAGGGCCTGAAATCACAAGGAGTTTCCAAGGTTTTTTTTCTTCAGGGGAGAAAAAAATAAAAAACCTGTCCTTTGGATAGAAGGGGGTCAGCAGATACCAGTACGACAGGATCAAGCTGGGACTGTCCACAACAGGGCACTTGAGGATTTCTTTGCTCTTATTTACTATGATGAAGAAAATTTTGCCCTTTTTCACTCTGTCCTCAAACAACAGCACCAGGACTTAAGTTTCACAGTTTCTGTATCTGGTTTCACTGTTTTTGACAGATTTGTTGTGTTTCCAACCAGTACATTCCCCACTTTGCCTCACCGCTCCCATGTTTTGGGGTGTTGCTGGGGTTGGTTTACACCTCCAAAGTTACGTGGGGTGGCTGAAGCAGGAGCTGGAAATCAGGCTTCCTAGCTGTGCAGTCTTGGGGAGGTGGGTTAACCGTCTGAGTGTAAATTTTCCTATCAGTAAAATCGGGGGTTGCCTGCTTTCCTCACACTTGTGAGGATTAAATTACCAGTTGCCATTGAGTCGATTCTAACTCATGGCGATCCCGTGTGTGTCAGAGTAGAACTGCACTGCATAGAGTTTTCAATGACTGATTTTTTCAAAAGTATATTACCAGGCCTTTCTTCTGAGGCATCTCTGGGTGAACTCGAACCACTAAGCTCTCAGTTAGCAGCTATGCTAACCATTTGCGCCATAACCACCTGACACTCAACTGGTAGCTATTAGCGCACTACCTGCTGTGTCAGGGGCCCCCTGAAAGGGGTGGGCTTGGGGAAGGGGCTGCGGGTGCTTGGGTGGGTTTAGGGGGTGTCATCTAGGATGGAAGGCCAGCTTCTGCCCTGGCCCACACAGATCTGTTCTGACTCTGTGAACAAAGTGATCTTCGCTTTTTTTTTTTAAGGAAAACAGATGATCACATTTGACCCAAAGAGAATTTGAAAACCCAAATCCCTGTGGGAGAAAGTCCAAAAATTGTCAAAGAACTGCCTCCCTGTCACCCCTCACTCCCGCAAAATGAGCACTGAGTTCAAGAAGATTTACATATTAGTCCTATCAGATCTTTGAGGACCAGGAATAATACCTATGCTACTTAAATTGCTAAGAGCATAGGGGAAAAAAGTGAAAGCTTCCCAGTTTCTTTTATAAAGTTAACAAAAACAAAAAGAAAAAACTCCGATACCAGAACCTAATAGGCATCCAAAATGGATCAATGGCACTTACACACAGAGATATAAAAATCTTATAAAATAACATATTGGTAAATCATATCCAATAGTATTTAAAAGAAATAATATATTAGGACCAAGTAGGATTTATTACAGAGTTCCTGGGTGAGGCAAATGGCTGATGTTCTCAGCTGTTAACGAAAAGGTTGGAATTTTGAATCTACCCAGAGGCACCCTGGAAGAAATGCCTGGAGATCTACTTCCAAAAAATCAGCCATTGAAAACCTATGGAACACAGATCTACTCAGACATGTATGGGATCACTTGGTGTCATGGATTGAATTGTCCCTCCAGAAATGTATCAATTTGGCTGGGCCATGATTCTCAGTATTGTGTGGTTGTCCTCCATTTTGTGATTGTAATTTTATGTTAAAGAGGATTAGGGTGGGATTGTAACACCCTTACTAAGGTCACACCCCTGATCCAATGTAAAGGGAGTTTCCCTGGGGTGTGGCCTGCATCACCTTTTATCTTACAAGAGATGAAAGGGAAGCAAGCAGAGAGTTGGGAACCTCATACCACTAAGAAGGCAGTGCAGGGAGCAGAGCACATCCTGTAGACCTGAGGTTCCGGTGCAGAGAAGCTCCCAGACCAAGGGAAGATTGATGACACGGACCTTCCTCCGGAGCTGACAGAGAAAGCGTTCCCCCGGAGCTGATGCCCTGAATTCGGACTTGTAGCCTACTAGACTGTGAGAGAATAAACTTCTCTCTGTTAAAGCCATCTGCTTGTGGTATTTCTGTTGGAGCAGCACTAGATGACTGAGACAGTTGGCAACTGTTTTTTTTTTTTTTTTTTTTTAGGATTTATTCCAGAATTTAAAGATAGTTCAATGTTTGGAAATCTATGAATATAAATCATACTAATAGGCAAAAATACTTTATCAAGGGGATAGATGCAGTAAAAGCACTTAAAGGACTGAACATCCGCTTACAAACATATGGTTGTATGGCCACAGACAAATGGCTGAAAAGTTACCACAATGTTTACACCGACTGCCCCTGTGAGGTAGGAATGAAGAGGGGTGATAAGAGGGAGGCTGACTTTTACTTATTATCTACATATTATGGATTGGACTGTGTTCCCCAATAATGTGTGTCAACTTGGCTAGGCCATGATTCCCAATACTGTGTGGCTGTTCACCATTTTGTGATCTGATGTGATTCTCCTATGTGCTATAAATCCTAACCTCTCTGACATTAGGATTAGAGGCAGTAATGTTAAGGACTCAATCTACAGGATTAAGTTGAATCTTGAGTCAATCCCTTTTAAGATACAAAAGAGAGAAGCGAGCAGAGAGGAGGGGGACCTCATGACACCAAGAAAGAAGTGCTGGGAACAGAGCGCGTCCTTTGGACATGGGGTCCCTGCGCTGAGAAGCTCCTAGACCAGGGGAAGACTGATGACAAGGACCTTCCTCCAGAACCAACAGAGACAGAAAGCCTTCCCTGGAGCTGGCACCCTGAATTCACACTTCTGGCCTCCTAGACTGAGAGAAGAAATTTCTCTGTTAAAGCTATCCACTTGTGGTATTTCTGTTATAGCAGTACTAGATAACTAAGACACTATATCTAAATTGTTTGAATTTTAAAAAGTAACATGACGTGTCTGGTTGCCTCCACGAACAACTGTGTCCTCTGCTATGGGACCAGAAGAACTGGATGGCGCTCTGCTACTATTACTTTATGTTTTGATCAAAATTCTATGGAAGAATGCTGATCAAAAGGTGAGGCCCCTCTACTATTCTCATCTCTGGTCCATTCCCCTCCATGCAGATGGGACAACCGAGGCCCAGGGTTTGGACAGGGTAAGGGCCTGCCCAGCAACACACAGGCCAGCAGCAGAGCCAGGTGGGCCAGACCCAGGCCTCTGCTTGTCTGTCTTCCTCCCAAAGGTCCTTTCAGTGCTGCCCCCTCCCCTCCCCTCTGCCCCTGCTGGATGGTTTTCTTGGTAAGCTGCTCCCTGAGCACACCAGATGGCAATGAGGAAACCCGAGCAGCAGCTCTTGTTTGCAGCTTGGAGCCCAGCTCTGCGGCAGCCTTGGGTCAGTGATACCGAGTCACAGATAACCATCGGCCCAGTCCCCATTCTAGGTAGATCCAATTGCTCCCCAGGGCCCAGCTCTTCCACCTGCACACTGAGCCATCCCTATCCAGCTACCCACTCCACTCAGCAAAGGTCCTTTCTATAGGTAACAGCTTAGGGCTTAGAATCCCTCGCTCTTCATTAAACTGGGCTCCTGAATACCCGCTTTGTACAGTCCCAGCCAGGACCTCAATGCGTTTGCCTATTGTTGCTTTGTTGTTCATTTTTTCAATCTTTTATTTTTTTTAATTATACATGACACATGATTACGGTAGAAAAATCAGAAAACAAAACAAGCCAAGAGAAGAAGGAAAAAAATGACCCATAATCCCACACCCAGCGATAACTACAGCGAAACCTGTGAGGGCCAGAACTCAACAGGAACTGCCTTGTTTTCCAGCCTTTTTCCTGGCCTCGCCTTTGAGCCCCTGGCCCACGGGCAACCCTGCTGCCCTCAATCAGCCACTGGGGGGTGGGGGTGGGGGCAGTGGGGAAGAGCAGGCCTGTGTCCTGTTCCTGCTGCTCGCCAGCCTGGACTGTTCTTCTCTGGCCAACTCTGCCATCCTTCACCTGCCTACTCTTCCAGCACTCACCGGCACCTACAGGGAGCCATGGCCATTGCCAGAGGGGAAGGCCTGGGCCTCGCCTGGCCGCAGGGACCTCACAGTCCAGGGCAGCGGGGCATGTGGACCCATGATGAGCCCACACAGCAGTGGTGTGACAGCGAGGGTGGTAGGAGTTGGAGGGACTTGCACAGGAGATGGCTGGGTCTTGAAGGAGGCGTAGGAGTGCACGGGGTGGAGGAGATGAGAAGGGCACTCAGGTGGCAGGGCAGCCCGTGCGAAGACCTAGAGGCGAGGGGCTTTGTGGCTAGAACAGAAATGGCTGGGGGTCTCCGAAGACAAGCAGCCTGAGCTTGGCATCTACAAAGGGGGAGGGGAGGGGGGAGGCGTTCCTGGCAACAGGGGACAAATGTGGTGAGACTTGAACGAAGAGTTGTGCCAACAACTCTGACAGGTAAGCGGGGACACAAGAAAGCCAGGGCGACGGTTGTGTTCTTACAGTTCTGAGAACCACCCTGTGCAAATGTGGACCCTGCCCCCCACATCACTCAAGCTACGGTCCAAATCCCTTCTGTCAAACCCCACACCTGGGGGCACTGCCATCCAGCAGTACCATTATCCCCTTTTTACAGAGGAAGAAACTGAGGCTCAGGGAGGGTCAAACACTTGTCCAAGGCCGTGGAACTGGGAAACGGGAGCAGAGCCCAGGTCGACTGATGCCAGAGCCTGGGGGCTGCCTCTCACTGTGCCACTCTGAAGCGAGGTGCCCCTGCCCAGCAGGGCACAGGTTTGAAGAGCAGCCCGGGCAGGGAGGAACGGCCGAGGGGCACTGCCTGCCAGAGCAGAGTGGCCTGGGGAGCTGGACCAGGCTCTAGTTCCAGCCTGTCCATTGATCTCCTGGGAAAGTGAGCCTGAGACCTCGCCGGCTTTTAGTGCCACCTGATAGCCCAGGCAGAAGGGCTCAGCAAGGCCGTGGGGGCCAGGTTTCCTGGCATTCTGTGATTCCTGCCCACTGTCCAGCCCGGGGCCCTGAGGCTGCCAGCCCCCTTCATCTCTCCAGTCTATAACCACACCTACCACCCCAAGGAGAGGGCTGTGCTGGGAAGGGAGGAGAGCCCTACTGGACAGCTCAGCATCCTGGGGGCATTGCAGGGACCTCCCAGGAGTGGGAGGATGATAGAGCCAGAGGGCCTGGTCTAACAGACAGGGAGTCTCCGCTGTAGCAGGCCCTGGACGCAGTGAAATAGCAGAGAACCCAGAGCCAGTAGACCAGGTCTCCAGTCACTGGCTGTGTGGCTTTGGCCAAGTTGCTAAGCCCCATCTGTAAAATGTGGATAAAAGGACTCCCTTTTACAAGGTCACAGTGAGGATTAAATGAAAGTGTGCTTGAAGTCATCCACACAGATCCTGGCAGGCACATAGTCAGTAGATACTCAACTCCTGGCAGAAGGAGCCGGGGCCCAGTGGGTGGGAGTCCCTGAGTTACACAGCAGTCTGGCGGTGGAGCCAAGGCCTGAACTTGGCTCCTGACAGAGGCTGATGCTCTTTCTCAGCTCCCCCAGGCCAGCTGGCACACCTGGGGCCCCAGCCCCCACCCCAGTCCCAGCTCCAAAGAGTGAACAGGAAGTCACACTTACTTGAGTATGTCCTTCTTATTGAAGAAGCTGCAGTCCTGTTGAGGGAAAAACACACACAGTCGGCTGTACAGGTCCCAGGCTCCTTCTTTCCTCAGAGCCCTCCATGCCACAGGGCTGAACGGGAAAGCCCTGGCCTGGGGCAGAAGAGCCACTGTTACCCCCCCTACCCACCCACTGGGGACAGCAGATTCTAGTGGGTCCTGAGCGGCCCTGGGGAACCGTGTGGATGGAGGACTGTGCAGCAGGCTGAGGAGTGCATTTAGGAGGAAGATGGCATGTTTACAGGCGGTTGTGCTGACTTGAGGGGCCAGTGAGATACCCTGCGGGATAATGGGAAGTGGCAGGGAGACAACTCAGGAGGCAGATACAGGAGTGGGGATGACAGGGCACCACACTGCACAGCTGTAGAGGGTGCCATTCAGGTTGTGGCCCCTGGGAATGGTGCCCCATGGAGGCGTGCAGCCTGAGTCCCAAGCGGCCACAGGCAGCAGCCCCCAGCTCAGAGGCTGAGAGTTCCAGGCATACAGGCTGGGGAAGCATCAGCAAATACCTGGCATCTGAAAACCCAAAACCGAACCCATTGCCATCCAGTTGATTCCAACTCATAGCAAGTCTACAGGACAGAGTAGAACTGCCTTATAGGATTTCCAAGGAGTGGCTGCTGGATTTGAACTGCCGACCTTTTGGTTAGCAGTCCAAAGCTTAACCACTGCACCACCAGGGCATCTGAAGTCACAGGAATAGATGAGGTCACATAGGGGCAGGAGTGGAGAGGCCTGGGGTGTGTGAAGTGAGGGGGCGAGGTAGGGAGGGGGTCAGAAAGGAGAGGATCAAGCCCTGCAGAGGAGCCAGTAACATCTGGTTTGAGACTGAGGGGACCTCAAGTGGGCATTACTCAGGGTGGGGGCAGCACTTGGCTCCAAGGTCATCCCGGATTCTAAGTTCATCTCCCGGGGTCCTGTCTTCATCTTGATGACCTGCTTCCTGCAGTCACATCGTTGTTCACAGCCTGACCTGCCAAGGTGAACATCAACCGCTCGGAGTTGGCAATGATGGCTACTACACCAGGCCTTTGCCCACTGTTAGCACGGGGGAAGAAGGCACCTTAGGCTCTGCAAAGGTGCCTGCAGGGGCGGTGTGCTGACCAGAGCTGGCTCTGAGAGGGGTGAGTGGCCATAGCCCAGGCTGGCAGACAGCTAGGCTTGCCTTAGATGATTTTTAGAGCCACTGGGGTGATTGGACTGCACGTTGAGGACCAGAGAGGAGGCCACAGTATGTACACACGTCTAGGGTTTCCCCCGGGTGCTATAGGACAGCAGGAGAGGGGGAGCTGGTGGGACTTCCCAGGTCCTATTTAGCCCCACAGGTCCCTGGCTGGTGCAAATGGTTTGCACTAAACTACCAATCTAAAGGCACTGCAGAAGGAAGGCCTGGGGATCTGCTTCCTTAAAGAGTATAGCCAAGAAAACCCTAGGAAGCAGCTCAACTCTGTCACTTAGGGTCACCATGCATCAGAACCAACTCAATGGCGACTTGTTTTTGTTTTTTAGCTGTACAAGTCTGTCGCTCTGAGCTGCCCGCTGCTCCCCAGGAGTTGAGCTAAGGCTGCCCACTCTGCCTCGCCCTTCTTGGAAACTTAGGGGCTTTTCCTAGGGGTTCAGCTTTACTTTCTGGCAACAGCTCTTCTTTATGAGCCAGGAGAGGCTCAGTCCTGGGAAGCAGCATCCCAGACCAGCATAGACAGAAAATCCCTGCCTAGCAGGTCTAAGATTCAGACAGGCTGGGGACTCTGTGGTGACTTCTCACCAGACCCCAGACACCTGGAGCAGGCAGCAAAGGTGGGCTGGCTGGGCCTTCCAGGTACAGACCTCCCCCAGCCCAGGGCTGGTTCCGCAGCCTGAAGCTGCCCAGTGAGAAGGGTGAGGGCTCTCCCAAGTAGCCTGGTGGGGTCTTCCGCAGAGCTGGGAGTCGGGAGGGGTCCTGGCTGCTGTGTTCTTCTCGCATGACCTGTCCTCTGCCCCCTCCTCTCTCTTAGCCCCTGAGTGGGAGAGGAAGTATCCGAGCCCTTACTGGAGGGTTCTACCGGCAACAGAAGCAAAAGCTTCCTACATAATCCTAGTCCCTCAGTCCTTTATTGCAACTACTTACATCTCTCTACTTCAGTGTTCCTTAAGGGGTGGTTCCTAGAGCGGCAGCAGCAGCATCTGGGAACTTGGTGTAAATGCAGATTCTCAGGCCCTGCCCCAGCTCTACAGAATCAGAAACTCTGGGGGTGGGGCCCAGCAATCTGCATTTGAACAAGCCCTCCAGGTGATCCTGATGCTTGCTCACATGTGAGAACCACTGCTCTAGAGCACAGGTTCTCAGTTCTGGGGGTACATTACAATCACCAGGGGGCTTTCAAAAACATTGTGACCCAGTCGGACTCCAGGCCAATTAAATCAGAATCCCTAAGTGGGATCCCAGCCCGAGTGGCTGTCAAAGCCCCTGAGGTGATTCCAGTGTGCAGGCCAGGTTGAGAAACAGGGCACACGCACCTGGTATGGTACTAGGACTTCTTAGTATACAATTTTGTTTAATCTTCATCACCAGCCTATAGGGGCAGGCATTTTCTCCCCATTTTATAGATGGGAAAACTGAGGCTCAGAAAATGAAACAGCTTGCTCTAAACTGTACATGCAGCCCAGGAAGGCTGGGACTGGAAGTCAGGACTGTGTGCTTCTTTTTTTTTCTGGTATTTTGTTTTTATTTTTATTTACTTATTTTTTTATTGTACTTTAGATGAAGGTTTACAGAATAAATAGTTTCTCATTAAACAGTTAGTATGCATATTGTTTCATGACAACGGTTAACAACCCCACAACAGGTCAACACTGTCCCTTCTCAACCTTGGGTTCCCTATTACCAGCTTTCCTGTCCCCTCCTGCCTTCTAGTCCTTGTCCCTGGACTGTTGGGCCGCATTAGCCTCCTTTTGTTTTATGGGGCTGTCTAATCTTTGGCTGAACGGTGAACCTCGGGAGTGACTTTGTTACTGAGCTAAAAGGGTGTCCAGGGGCCATACTCTTGGGGTTTCTCCAGTCTCTGTCAGGCCAGTAAATCTGGTCTTTTTTTGTGAGTTAGAATTTTGTTCTACATTTTTCTCCAGCTCTGTCCGGAACGCTCTGTTGTGATCCCTGTCAAAGCAGTCAGTGGTGGTAGCTGGGCACCATCTGGTTGTACTGGACTCAGTCTGGTGGAGGCCATGGTAGTTGTGGTCCATTAGTCCTTTGGACTCATCTTTTCCTTGTATCTTGTTCTCTTCATTCTCCCTTGCTCCCGAAGGGGTGAGAGACCAATGGAGTATCTTAGATGGCTGCTCACAGGCTTTTAAGACGACAGACGTTACTCACCAAGGTAGAACGTAAAACATATTCTTTATCAACTGTGTTATGACAATTGAGCTAGATGGTCCCTGAGACCATGGTCCCCACAACCCTCTGTCCAGCAATTCAGTCTCTCAGGGAGTTTGGATGTGTCTATGGAGCTTCCGTAACCTTTCCTTGTACAAGCTGTGCTGGCTTCCTCAGTATTGTGTACTGTCTTACCCTTCACCAAAGTTACCCCTTATCTGTTGTCTGTTTAGTATTTCTCCCACACCCCTCCCATCCTTCGTAACCAACAAGGATTGTTTCTTTTTGTGTGTAAACTTTTTCATGAGTTTTTACAGTACAGGTCTCATACAATATTTTTCCTTTTGTGATTGACTTATTTCACTCAGCATAATGTCCTCCAGTTTCATCCAATGTTATGAGATGCTTCACAGATTCATCATTGCTCTTTATCATACATAATACATAATACACCATTGGGTGTATGTACCACAGTTTGGTTATCCATTCATCTGTTGATGGGCATCTAGGTTGTTTCCATCTTTTTGCTATTGTGAATAATGCTGCAATGAACATGGGTGTGCATATGTCTATTCGTGTGACGGCTCTTACTTCTCTAGGATATATTCCTAGGAGTTGGATTGCCGGATCATATGGTATTTCTATTTCTAGCTTTCTAAGGAAGCACCATATCATTTTCCAAAATGGTTGTATCATTATGCATTCCCACCAGCAGTGCTTAAGAGTTCCGATCTCCCCACAGCCTCTCCAACATTTGTTATTTCCAGTTTTTTTGATTCGGGCCAGTAATGCCGGGGGGAGATGGTATCTTATTGTGGTTTTAATTTGTATTTCTCTAATGGCTAGTGATCGTGAGCATTTCCTCACGTGTCTGTTGCAGGACTGTGTGCTTCTTGACCACTGCCCCATGACTGCAAACAAAACCACCATATGCCAACCTCTCCATGTCCTACCTGGCACACAGTAGGTGCGCAATACAGGTTTTTGGGATGAGTGCAAGGATTTTCCATATATGTCTTCCATAGGGGTTATATTATTTCAATGGCTGCAGAATATCCACTGAAGGCATTGACCTTGTTAGCCTAACCTCTCTCCTCTTTCAGAATATTTAGCAACAGCTGTTTCCAGGTTTTCAACATTACTGATAAAGCTGCCATGAACCTGTGCATCAACTAATGTTTTGCTTTTTCTTCTGTTGACTTGCTTCCCTGGGACTGCTAACAGGGAGGCAGCTTGTAGGGGGTGAACATGGCAGGTGCCTCTAAAAGCTTTTCAGGGCTTTGAGTAGCCTGGCAGTGTGACAGAGGAAAAGGACAGTAGGTTTAATAGTCAGATTCAAATTCTAGTCTTGCTTTGGACCGTTAGGCAAGTCAGTCTGCTTTCAGAGCCTCAGTTTTTGCATCTGTAAAATGGGGATAGTGAGTCTCTGAAAGGGGTAGTGTGAGGAGCAATGAGATAAGGTGCTGGAAGCCTATAGGTCACAGCTGATGGGGTTCTCTCTTCCTCTGATCCAACAACTCCATCCACTACCCCATGTCCTGTGGCATTTCCCTGGAATCTGCGGCTCTGTGTCTGCCCCCACTCTGAAGTCACCAAACAAAGATCCTGCCCCCTTCCACACACAGCTGCCCAAGGAGCTACAGCTACATGTCTGCAAGAATTCTTCCTTGCACTCAGAGAACAAATGCCACCGACACTGCCTGTCACCTGACGGTTCATAGGCTGGGTCTTCAGGCCAGATCCCCAGCTAAGGTCAGGGTCATGAGGGGTGGGACTGGGGTTAGGAGGGGGCCTAGCCCAGTAGCAGTGGGCCCTCCAGACTCTGGCAGCAGAAAACAGCCCAAGAGGCAGGCTGGGCTTTTACAGTAAAAGGCTTGAGTTCTTCTGCCTCTAAGCCTATATTCACCCTAATCCTCCCAACCTGGAGTGCCTTCCTCTCCTCTCAGCTTGTCTGAATCCTTTCCATTCACAAAGCTCAACTCCAGGGACACCTCCTCCAGGCAGCCTCCTTCCTCCTGCCTCCTATCTCACACACGCAGGGTCTACTGTGCCAGTGTCAGGAGCCAAGACACCGCCAGGTCCCGGATGGAGCGGAAACCTACTCTCCACCCAGCTATGCCAGCCTAGGCCTCCCCACTGTCCGTCTGACCACCACACTGCTCTCGGCCAGGCTCTGCCAGCTCAGGCCTCCTCACTGTCCATGTGACCACCACAGTGGCTCTTGGCCAGGCTCCAAAGCGATCTCAGTTGATCCCCACAAGACCCGTGTGCCGAGAGCACAGCAGGGTTAGTAGTTATTCCCATTTTAGAGGTGGGGACACTGAGGCCCAGAAGGGGACAGTGACTTGCTAAGGCCTACAGCATCAACTACCTATCTACGACTTGAACCCAAGACTTCAGAATCCCTGCCTGGAGTTCTTTCTCTCCTGAGAGCTAGCCCTTAACAAGTTTTTGTTTGTTCATTCATTTGCCAACATCCTCCGAGTGGCTCATATGTGCCTGGGTAGGGGACACACGTGGGGAGATGGAGTGTGAAAGGGTGGTGATGATCCAGAATAAACCATTCTGTGGCCACAAGAAGCTTGGGGTGTGTGTGTGTGTGTGTGTGTGTGTGTGTGTGTGTGAGATAAACCATTCTGTGGCCACAAGAAGCTTGGTGTGTGTGTGTGTGTGTATATGTGGGTGGTGGTGATGGTGGTGCGTGTGTGTCTGTGTGTGGTGTGTGTGTGTGTGAGACTGGGATGGTGAAGAGGTGAGGGGTGGGTACCGGGGGAACAAGGGTAGAGGGGAGGGAGTGCTTGGCTAGAAGCCCTTCAGTGTGCCTTGAACTTGGGGTACACAGGGAGAGGAGTAAGAAATGAGGCTGGAGGCCAGCTGAGCCCAGGAACCCTGCTCAGCCTGTTGTCCCAAGACACTCTGAATTCCAGGGAAAAGACAAGCTCACAGCTGTGTTTTAGAAAGACCCTCCAGGCATCTATATGACATGAACAACTCCCCAGGGGCTCCCACAACGACAGGGGATTGGTTAATACACATACAATGGCATTCTTTGTCCACAGATTACTTTTACAGAAAAAAATTGTTTTAGGATGGTGATGCACACTGTGACTGTCGAAAGAAAGAGGGAAAGGGAGAGAGGGAGAAAGAGTGAGAGAACAAACAGACTGTGGCAGAAGGCAGTGGTAGCTAGAGGCAGATGGGGGTGGGGTGACGAAGTTATAACTTCAGTCACAGGAGACTGAGGAGGCCTGGCCCAGGACTGGGTGTGGGGATCCAGAGGAGGGGACGCCTAGGTGAGACACGAAAGAGGCCACAGGACTTGCTCTTAATTGAAAATGTGGGCTGAGGGAGATTGGGGAGTCAGGACGCTGCTTGGCAGGAGGAGCAGTGGAGGGTTCTGGGGCAGGCAGTGAGCACCGTTTAGGACAGTTGGCTTGAGGGGCCTGGGGGATGGGTCTGGAATGCAGAGGAGTGGTCTGGGCAGAAGCCTGATCTGGGGGGAATCACTGGCGCACACATGGGAAGAGGGGGCGTCCTGCATTGGGAGGGAACACAGGAAGCCCTGGGGCTCACTCGGGACAGGGTCGCTGTAACCCAGGGTCACCCCACTCTGCCTGGCCCTGGCTGGCCAGTGGCTGGCTGGAGAACCAGAAGGAAGATGTGGGGCTCTCAGGTTTCACAGCTCTCATTTCTCCCACCCCGTCTGGCGCAGGCCAGCCAGGCGCTGGCAAAGGATCAGAAGCCAACACCAGGGTTGGCTGCAATGGGTAACCCAATGCCCGGCTGGTCTGAGTGGGAATCCAGGCTCCCCACCCCTACGGGCTACTCACTTCCCTTGTAAGCATGGTCAATGTGTCTGTGTGCCTGCCTGTGCCCACCTCCAAGCCTTTATCCACACTGTCCACTCCAACTGGAAAGCCTCTTTCCAGCTCCTGCTGGGCAAAATCCTACCCATCTTTCAAGGGCTTGCTCAACTGCTCCTTTGTTTCTGAACCTGCCCTCCCCCTGGCCACAGGATGTCCCCTAGAGCACACTCCACCACCTGCCTCTACCACAAGGGCCACACTGGAGACGAAGGTCTGTCGCTCTAGGCTGTGAGGGCCTGGAGGACAAAGAGTACAATGCCAACTCTGAGCAAGAGGTAAGCCTTGGAGTCCGGATTCGAATTCCCGTGTGAGCCCTGACTGGGCAGAGTACCGCGTGGATCCTCGGCCTCCGTTTGTTGTTGCCGTTATGTGCCATCGAGTTGGACCCTGATTCACGGCGACCCCATGCACAATGGAGCGAAACCCTGCCCAGTCCTGTGCCACCCCCATGATGGACTGCAGATGTGACTGATGTGATCCATAGGGTTTTCACTGGCTGATTTTCAAAAGTAGATCACCAAGCCATTCTTCCTAGTCCAACTTAGTCTGCAGGCTCCAGTGAAACCTGTTCAGCATCATAGCAACATGCAAGCCACCACTGACAGGCGGGTGGTGGCTGCACATGAGGGGCACTGGCCAGGAATCGAACCCGGGTCTTCCGCACGGAAGGTGAGAATTCTACCACTGAACAGCCAATGTCCCCATAGGCCTCCATTTACTTTCCTGTAAAATGGAGGCACAAACAGTTAAGTACTATACTACTAGCCAAAAGGTTGGCAGTTCAAACCCACCCAGAGGCACTCTGGAAGACAGGCCTGAGGATCTGATTCTGAAAGCACAGCGTTGACAATCCTACGGAGCAGTTCTACTTTGCACAGACGGGCTTGGATCGACTCGATGGCAACTAATGAGGACAACAACAAAATGGGGCTAATAATCGACCTGTCTGTGATAATCAAGTGAGCTGATACACACAGGGCATCCAGTACAGTGCCTGGCACACACGGGTGCTTCTTCCTTCCCAGGGCCTTACACAGGGAGCCGAGAAACCTGTGTTCTTCCAGGAGGAGAAGGGGCCTTTATTTTACCTCCACCCACATCAGAGAACCCACATTTCAAGCTCCCTTTCTTTCACACCAAAATAAATACTCATGAAAGCAACAGGCATTTACAGGGACCCAGCTGGTGCTCATCTCTCCCAGGTACACAGGAGACAGTTCAGTCCAGGCCTGGAGGGGGCATCAGAGAGAGGCCTTGGAGGATTATTAGTAGAAAGATCACCTAGAGAGGGAGAGAGGCTCCCAGGCCAAGGAAACAGTGTGGGCTAAGGAACTGCAAACAGTTCTAGGGGGAGCGGGAGGGCGCAGAGGGCAGGGATGGGATGTGGGGAAGCTTCAGTTGCAGAGGTGGACTGGGCAGGCCACAAGGGCTCCGGGCAAGCCCGGAGAGTTGGGCTTCATCTTGCAAGAGGTGGGCAACGCAGAAAAGTTTGCACTTGGGTGGGAGGGCAATCAGATCTCTGATTTGGAGAGCTTGTTGGGGAGGTCCTAGGTGGTACAGTTAATGCACTCGACAGCTAACCCAAAGGTTGGTGGTTTGAGTCCACCCAGAGGAGCCTCAGAAGAAAGGCCTGCCACTGAAAACCCTAAGGAGCACAGTCCTACTCTGATATACATGGGATTGCCACCGGTAGAAATCCACTTAAAGGTAACTGGTTACCGATTGGGGGGGGAGGGGGGCAGGGGGACCTGGAGGGGTCTGAGGAAATGGTTGCTGGGGCCTGAGGGAGCTTGGAGAGGTAGCCATGTAAGGCTGGTTCCTAGCTCGCCTTCTTGCTCCAATTATTTCCACACTGCCCAGAAGTTCTTGGGGCCAGAGGGAGAGACCTCATCAGAATAAGAACACGATGTCCTCAAGACCACATTTGGGGGCTGATGCACCCCACTCCCAGCCCATTTCTGACTCACAGATTAACTTAACTCTCCTGGGCTACCTCTGCCTACATTTACTGACCCATCATCTCCGTGCCAAGGTGGGCGCTCTGATGGGTGGCTGGGGAGGGTGGTTTCAGGTCCAGTGTAGCGGCGGGAATAAGAAGACTGAATGGAAGAAGGAGCAGGGGTGGCTGGAGCGAGGCGTGCCTGAGAGAATCTTCCAACTAGAAAGCGCTCGCGTTCCACAGATGGGGAAACTGAGGTTCAGCAAGGGGAAGTCACCGGCCCAAGGTCACGCTGAGAGCTGAAGGCAGCGGTAGGATTTGAACGGAGGTGAACTGGCTTTCAAGAGGCCGCGGCAAGCGACGGGAAAAAGAGGTGAGGGGAGGCGGGGCGCCACTTCGCGGGCCGGGGCGTGCCTGTCTTACCTGGTAGTTGTCCAGCTGCTCTTCGGTGAAGATGGTCTGCTTGTTCCCCATGGTGGCCGTCGCCTCCCATCCGCGGCGGCCGGAGCCCCGCGCCCCGCGCCCGCGGCCCTTGCCAGCCTAGCGGCGG